CCAGTAATGTCTCCATTCGTCCCAGCCCTGAGATTTTGGCAGCCTCTCCTTACCGTCTTTCCCAACACTGCCAAATATTGGAGGCTCTTTCCGGGTCAGGGGAATGAGACCCGTTGTTACTGTTTTGGGCATACAGAATATGCCATAGGTAGCTTGCCAGGCTCTCCAAGAGGCATATCTATATGTATTTCCCTCCATGATTTGTTGCCTACTGTCTGAGCCCCATCAAATATGGTAATTATGGAAAATGGGTAGGGAGTGTCTGATGTGTTGCAGAAATATGTTCACTCATATATTAGACTCACAAATAAAAGAAAACCAAATCTTTTAATGCAGGGCAGGGTATGAAGTATGTGTGTGTGGGGGGGGGCGCGGGAGGGGTGACTGGACATAATCAGAGGTGCTAGGGCTACTCCCCCTGGCTCTGTGCTTATGCGTTACTCCTGGCGGTACATGGGGGACCATATGCATGCAATACTGAATCCTGTCAGAAGCTGAGTTTCATGGAACCTCCCTGCCCCATACAGATGGTCACCCACCATCATATGTGATAAACAACAAGAACCATGTGTTAAGTACCTATCACATGCCAATAGCTCTGTGAAGAGCACACACAGACTAGGAGATCACCTAAGTCCAGAGTTCAGACACTACTGGAAAGACAGAGCAATGGGACATAGGGAAGGAGGTGTGTCAATGAGTGTGTGCGTGTGTGTGAGAGAGAGAGAGAGAGAGAGAGAGAGAGAGAGAGAGAGAGAGAGAGAGAGAAGAGAAAGAGAGAAAGACAGACAGAAAACAGAACAGGGAAGAGGACCAACACTTTGGGAAGAGAAACAAAAATTGATTTCTGGGTGATATAAACTGAGAGCTTTTCAATGTTCTCAGAGTCTAGAAGCCTGAGTCAAAAATTAGTTCCAAAATAGGAAAACATTTTTTTAATTAATATGAAAAATAGGTCAGACAAATTGAAGGTGTATGTATGCATGCCTGTGTGCAACAAAGACAAACCTAAACATCACTGTCATTATACTGTAATTATTCTTAATGTAAAGCAATATAATGCTCTCATCAGAAATTATTTATCAGGGCACAGCAGGTAGGGCGTTTGCCTTGCACACGGCCAACAGGGTTCGATTCCCAGCATCCCATATGGTCCCCTGAGCACCGCCAGGAGTAATTCCTGAGTGCAGAGCCAGGAGTAACCCCTGTATATCGCCAGATGTGACCCAAAAAGGGAAAAAAAAAGACATATCAAACTGGATATTTAGGAAAACCCAACTACCTATTTATAAAAAGAAAGAAAGATTCTTAAAGTAAAATGCAATTATAAGGAGGTATCACTATATTAACATCTGGAAAAAGGAACATCAGGGGAAAGCATTACTGTAGAGAAAAAAAACACCTTCAACTGACCATCTGAACACAGAAAATGTGTCTGAATCTGACCATATACTGTTTAATTTGTGGTCTTGTAACATTTACTGAAACTGGCACTAAATAGCATATTCTTTCTTTCCAGGGGGTAGGAGGTGTAGTTGGGGGAGGGACCATATACAGCACTGGGGACAGAAATGGAGACCGTCAAGCACAAGGCGAGGCAAATACCTCACTTCTGAACTGTATTCTCAGATTCCCACAATCTCCTTACTTTTAACAGTAACAATGCTATGGCACCAACTCTGTAAGGAATTATTGAACACGTTCCTCTTTATAATTGCAGATAGAGTATTAAGCAAGTTAGTCATCAATACACAAGAGATAAGTATAAAAACTAGAATTTACGATCTGCGAATCCAAAACCCAAATCTAGTCTACTATTACAAAAATCAAGGTGCCTTCCCTCTAACTTGGCAACAAACTAGTTACTTCTTTGATGTTTTAAAGCAAATTCAATCTGGAAACCAGCATTATACTAAAAATAGCAAAGGTTTCCCTTCACTTCATTTAGTCCTTATCTCATTGGAAATGCAGTTTAAGCAAATCTTTTATTTCACTTCACCAGTGAAGGGTCTGAGAACTGTATTCACAGAGAACATAAATATGCAAAATATGCATTTTACATGTATCGAAAAGACACATACATAGACAGTCATAGGCTAAGGAAGGAGCCATTACCCAGCTACTACATACAAACAAATTGCTTGAATGAATGCTTGAAGGTGATTCCCCAGAGCACAGTGAGGAATGCTTTTAACAGAAATGTTTATGTTACTACTGCATCAGGTTACTTTACCTACAATTAAATTTTGAAGAAAAATGTTAGAATGAATGCTCTGAAGGGGCAGGGCTGGAGAGCCCAAGGAACTGGTGCGCATATTAATTATCAGTCATCCAGGCTCACAATACCATATGGTCCCACAAGTGCCAGGTGTAGCACCAGAAAAAAGGAGGAGTTATGGCCCCAAAGTAAAATGAAAATGCATGAATTCAAGTCTTAAGCTGAAGTATAGAATAATTAGTCCAAGTGAATTCACTTAAGATCCCTTTAAAAGCCAATAAAGGCTTCATAAACCATGATTATGCAACCATGGATGAGTTTTTTTTTTTAACTGCCCTGTGCCTTAGTTTTCCTGTTAAAATATTACTACCTACCCTCTTGGAACACAACATTAACACAAAAATAATTTCAAAACATCTGACAATTACCCAATAAATGCAGTTTCATTTACCCCTATTGTGCTCTATCACAGAAAAATAAAAGTACTAAGCTCAACCCCCTCCCCCAATAAAATCGAAAAGGCACAAAACTTCTACACAAGTAAAAATGCATCAAATAAAAGGTAGCAATAAAAGGTAGCCTTGGTAACCCTAATAACCAAGATCACGTTCTGAGATAAGCCCTGGTAAATCACCTTGGGGTAGGCTGTCAACGTGTTACACTTCAAAAAAGATGTGCAACAAGGCTGCTCACCTTCTAACACCTGTTCTGCCCGACAACTAGAGATAAAATCGGGAGTCCTCTTGGACACCGGCACTGTCTAATCACTTCTGTCTGGGTTTTAAAAATCTCAAAACTGACACTGCCTGCCTGTTTTCTGGCGAGAAACTCTCAAGCAAGGACTTTACAACTGGTATGTATATCCCATTTTCCTGTGAGATCAAATGAATCGCATCTACTCTTTTACACAGGACAGATCGCACGCCTTGACGTCATCCGTCCCTGGATCCTGTGGTTCTCAGAGACCACCAGCTCCGGGCAGAACTTCATTCGGGCCTCCCATGAGGGCACTCGTGAGGTAGAACTGAGCTCAGACTCCAGACGAATGCCCTCTCCCCCTCCTCCCCTTCCTCCCTACACCAACCGTCTTTAAAAAAAAAAAAAAAAAAGCACCGCAGCTAGTTCAGAAAACACCTCCTTCCAGGAACCTCGATGGCTGCACTGAAGAAAGGAAAAGACCACGAAAGACCTCGATGGCCAAAATCAGTTTCCATCTTAGGACTGTTCAGAGGCAGTCTGATTAGGGAGAAAGTCTCCCTAAAGGAAAAACAAAAAATACCGACGAAGCCATCGGCCAATTTCGAGCTGTACTTGGGGAAGGCTGGAGCGCACGTGTGCACACACTCGCGCACACACACCTGTCCAGTTTCTAACTGTACCTGAGGCAGGCGGGAGGGCACTACACACGCGCGCACGCACGCCCCCCCCACCCCCCGTCCAATTTCTAACTGTACGTGGAGCAGTCAGGCGCACACACACCCTTCCTTCTGTCCATTTCTAACTGTACTTGGGGCAGTCAGGCACAAACAAGCACAGGCAGGCACACTGACGCGCAGGCACACACACGCACAAGAGCGCGCGCGCGCGCACACACACACACCTGCCCAATTTCTAACTGTACTTGAGGCGGGCAGGCGCACATGCGCACGCATGCACGCGCGCGCACACACACACACAACACACACACACCTTCTGTCCAATTTGTAACTACTTGCGACAGGCAGGCGCACACACGCACCACACGCACACCTTCTGTCCAATTTCTAACTGTACCTGCGGCAGGCAGACACACACACACACAGACACACACGAGCGCGCGCGCGCACACACACACACATACACACACCCTTTTGTTAAGGGCTGCTCTTCGCACGCGTTCATTCCCCCTCACGAAGCGGTCGGTGGGGGCCCCGCCCCGTCAGCCGTCCCCTAACACCTTTCCCCTCCGGTACTAAGAAAGGAAGATCCTTCTAGAAGCGCCCGGCGGGGCTCCCCTCGTTCCCTCAGGAATCCTTCAGCCCGCCACCCGCCAGCCCCTCAGCTTCCGGCCCGCGGGCCCGGGTCTCTAAGCCCGCCGCGGCGGCGACGGCGGCGGCGGCCACGTGTCCGGGGAGCCGCGGGGGTTTCCCCGGCCCACACGTCGCCGCCTCCGGGGGGGCGGAGCGCCCGGCCACCTCCCTCCGCCCCCGCCCCCGCCCCCACCCGCCCCGACCCCGCACAGCCCCTCCCGCCCATCGGAATTCGCCGCCGCCACCGCCGTTCTTCCATCCCCCCACGGCCTGCCTCCGCCCTCGTACTCTGGAGTAAGCGGGGGTTGGGACCGGGGACGCGGGCGAAGTGGGGGGCTCTGCAGCGCAGCTCAGCCCGGCCCGGCCCGGCCGCCCACCCGCCTCGCCCGCGTCCCCGAGCCGGGCGGCCGTCGCCCCTCGCGAGGAGCCCGGGCGTCGCCGCGGCCTCGCCCGGGTCCGCGCGGAGAAGCCGGTGGGGCCGAAGGCGGCCCGTCGCACCCCCACCCCCCCACCCCGCGAGCGGACCCCCGCGCTCGCCCCGGCCTTCCCCAGCGGCCTTCCCCACCCCTCCACCGGCTCCATGGCGGGGGTCGGGGCTGGAGGTTCGAGACGGGGCGGGCGGCCGGCCGTGGCGGCTCCGGCCAGACCGGGACGAGCAGGGGAGGCCTCGGGCGGCCCCGGCCCCGGCTCCCCGGCCCTCGATCCGATCCCCCTCCGCGGACGCGGCCTCCCCGGCCTCCCGCGCCCCTCCCGGCGCCCCCGCAATCCGTTACCGGCGGCGAGCGCTGCGGAGCCGGGCGGCCGGAGCTGCGCAGGCAGTGACTCAGGGCGGCAGCGGCGGCGGGAGGAGCAGGAGGCGGCGCCGCGAGCAGATGGCGCTAAAAAAGACCCGAGAGCCCGCCGCTCGCGCTCATATACAATTAGCGTCAGCACGTAGGGCCCGCTCCGCCGCCCTCCCCCCTCCCCCCCGGCCTCGCCGTCTCCCGGCAACACGGGCGCGGGGCGGGGCCAGCGCGGGTCGCCTAGCAACCGAACCGTCCTTCTTCCAGGCCCTGCACCGACTGCGCCGCGCTAGGCTTCCTGGGGGCGGGGGTTCTCGCCTCCAGCCCCCTGCTACGCTCCCCTCTCGCTCTGTTTGCTCCCCGCCATCTCTTTTTTTTTTTCTCCCCGCAGGCCTGGCAAGGCAATCTCAACCCCTTTTCAGATCACTCCAAGGGCGAATCTGCGCACCCCGCCGCCCGCGCTCTCCTCGGGGCTCGGCGGGGCGCAGGGGAAGACGACAGGGTGGGGGTTCGGCGTCTGGAGTCCCGGCTAGCATCTCCCGACCTAATTCCTTACAACGTCTGGATCCCCAACGAATCCTTTCATGTCCGCCACCGCCCACTCCGTTTTTCCTCTGCGGAAGAACCATGCTTTCCTCCCGCTGATTTTGCTCCTGCTTTAGTGGGTCTCCCTGGCCTCACCCCTTCATCCCTTTACCTTGTTTCTGGTTAAGCTCGATTTCAGCCTTAGCTCTTTTGATGGATGAGAGTGCCATATTGGAATATTCGCTGATTAATTTATTATGAGGATCCTGTTGTTCAGCTTTCTGGAAAAGTAAATCCTGTGTAAACCCTCAGGCCTGTGAAACCCCGTGCCTATTTTTCACTTGATGCTGAATTGAGTCGTATTAATTAGTGGCTGGTGACTATTAATTAGTGATTCTCAAAAGACACCAATTTTTTTTCAAGGGAGGAAGTCAAAATTCCTTGATGCAAAGATATTTGCCTTTTGCAAGCTCATTTTCAAATGTGCTGTGAGGTTTTCCTGATGTCATTTAGTGTGACATAGAAATAGTGGAAACAAAACAGATATGAGAACTCCATTATCTATGTTAAGAGATCCCCTAAATGTGAAACGATACTTTTCTACACTTTTGTTGTGGAAAGTAGTTACTGAAAATAAAATACTTTGTTAACATTTTGTTTGTGGTGAAGGTTGGGGATGTGACAAAGGGCATGCCTTTGAAAGCATGCATGAGTCTTAGATTCATGCAAAAAGAGGTTTGAGGGATGGAAGATAGACTAAAGTACTAAGTGACCTGACTTTATCCTTGGGACACCACCAGAGCAACCCGGGTCAGGAGTAGCCCTGAGCACATCGGAGTGGAGCCCCAAACAAACACCTCACCCCTATCCCCTCTCAAAATTTAGGATCAAATGACTACTCTTAAATTTTCTGATTTTAGTGCCTGAAAGATAGTACAGTACAGAATTTAATGCCTTGAATGCACCCCCTTCTTAGATCTCTGGCATCATTTGGCCCCTGAGCATCACCAGAGATAGTACTTGAACACCTGAGCATAGCAGGCCTCCAACTCTACAACCTCCACCAAGCAAAAGAACCTGCCCTCCAGTTGAACCAAAGTCAAGGCTAAGAAATTGTGGGGGCACTAGAACAATAGCACAGCGGGTAGGGCATTTGCCTTGTACCCGGCCGACCATGGTTCAACTCCCAGCATCCCATATGGTTTCCTCCAGCATCACCTGGAATGATTCTTGAGTGCATGAACCAGTAGTAACTCCTCTGCATCACCAGGTGTGACCCAAAAGGCAAAAAAAAAAAATAATAATAATAAGTGGCAACGGGCCTTGGGACCTGGGCATGCTTGAGAGTCCCTAAGATTAATTTAAATGTTTTTAAAAATTTATTTTAGGGCCACAACCCAGTGGAGCTTCGGGCTTAGTCCTGCTTCTGTGCTTAGGGATCGCCCCTAACAGTGCTCAGGTGCTGGAAATTGAACCCCAGTTATCTCTTGCAAGGCATGTGCCTTACCCATTGTACTATCTCTCAGGCCCTAAAAATTTTTTTGTTTTAATTTTTACTATAGTAAATATCAGTATAATATACATAAAAGTGTTTTGGATGGATCCTTAATTTTTAAGATTGGATAGGTGGTCTGAAGCCAAAATGTTAGAAGTCCTGTTATATTTGTTGACGCTTAAACCTGCCTGGAACCCTCTCTAGTATTCCTCAGGTTTAGCTACTAGCTCTATTCCATTTTAGAGTACACAAGTTTTCTTGCACTCCCCAAATTTGCTGAAATTAGTTTCCTTTCCCACTGTGTTACAGATGTCTTGATTTAACCATTCTGTTTAGTTCACCTGTTTTCTTCAATCTTTCTTCATGTGCATCATTCTTAGACATTCTCAGTCTTAATGTCTACTCAACAATGATGGTGGATAAGGTGGATAAGGATTATAATATTATTGGAATATATTGGAATATATGGAATATAGTATTATAATGTAGTAGCACTGTCCTCTCATTGTTCATCGATTTGCTCGAGTGGACCCAGTAACGTCTTCATTGTGAGACTTATTGTTACTGTGTTTCGCATATCAAATACGTCATGGGTAGCTTGTCATGCTTTGCTGTGTGAGCGAGATACTCTTGATGGCTTGCCAGGCTCTCCAAGGGGGCGGAGGAATCAAACCTGGGTCGGCCGTGTGCAAGGCAAATGCCGTACCCACTGTGCTATCGTGTACATACATACATAAACTTGGCACTAGTTTTAGTTAATTGGGGTATGGGAACAAGTAAGTAAGCCCTGAACTCAGCACTTGGCTGTTCTCAGGGTGTACTCCTGGCTCTATGCTGAGGGATCGCTTCTGGCCGGGCTCAGGAGACCATATGCAATGCTGGAGAGCAAACTAGAGTCAGCAATTTGTATAGACAAGCGCCTTAACCCCTATATTATATCTCTCTGAGCCTGGCACTAATTTTAATGGAGGTTTTAAATGTTATATGCTAATCAAAGCTATGTACAGTGTAAGGTAATTAGCATATACTGAGTGAGCTAAGTTAACTTTGACCTTTCCATAAACCTTGGCGGTGGTAAAACTTCTGAGACCAAATTGAGAAGATAAACTTCATTATGGTTTAATCCCACTCCAGAGAAAATGACCAAATTCAATGTTGAAGCTAAAGCTACTAATTTCTGATGCTTCACTCCCACTCCCATATTTAAGGGTAATTATTACCTTTTTGAGGCAGCTAATTCTGTTTACCCTTTTCTTCTGCCTCTAGCTCCTTCCTCCAGCTCTCTCTCTCTCTCTCTCTCTCAGAGTATCACAGCCAGTCTAAAAAAAACAAAAAAGCAAAAACAAAACTTGAGAAGTTGCTAATAGTGCATGCCATGTAATGGGAACTTTGAATTCAGTTTGTTAATCTGCTGTTTAAGATAGTCAGTATTTGTTCATTAATTCAACAGTATTTATATTCAGGAACAACTTGAGGCTCTGGAAATACAGCATTGTATAAGATAAGATCTATTTAACTTATATTTAATAACATAGAATGAAAAACAGACAAAAAATGAAATGAAATGATTTTAGGTATTTGTAAGAGAAAGAATGAAGAAAATAAAGTGGGACAAGGGTAGAAGCTGATTAACATGAACTTTTCACACTGGCTCCTCTTGGACAAACAAGTTTTGTGCTGTAGTTAACTCATCTAATTTAATTACAATAAATGATGGCTCTGGCCTCTGATCTTGAACCATACTTAACTCTGGTTAAAGTACTCTTAAAAAGTACCTTTTTCTTTCAGACCCACCCCCTGGACTGGAGCGAAAGCACAGCGGGTAGGGTGTTTGCCTTGCATGAGGCTGACCCGGGTTCAATACCTCTGTCCCCCTCGGAGAGCCCAGCAAGCTACCAAAAGTATCCCACCTGCACGGCAGAGCCTGGCAAGCTACCCTTGGAGTATTCGATATGCCAAACACAGTAACAAGTCTCACAATGGAGACATTACTGGTGCCCACTTGAGCAAATTGATGAACAGTGGGACAACAGTGCTACAGTGCTACCCAACCCTAGTTAATTCCATTTGGTCAGTTTTCACAGCTCTGTAGCCTAATGAGTAGAAGCACGACTTTGGAGTGGAACAGTTAAAGTTTGTCCCTTTTTTATTGTGAAATATTAAACATGTAGGTCAAATGCTCAATAAAAATTAAACATTACAAACCCTGTACTGAGGTTTTGATTTGGTTTTATTTAAAGGTTGGAGGAACTCCCTTTTTATTTCATGACTTAATACGTTCTGTGGAATCTTTTTAAAACATCTTATAATCTTTTTGGAATCCCAAGGTGGTTCAGTGGCACACCCCTACAAGCTCTGAGCATGCTCCCTTTGGCCTCTAATGTTTGGGATCCCAGAGAGCACCAGGCCAACCAAATACACAAACTTCAGTCACAGCAATAACGGGAAAGGGGGGACAGGAAGAGGAATTTAAAATAATAGGGGGATGATGACTCAATGGCTTAAAAGCTGATGTTAAACTATGGGTTCATAGTTCACATAGCTGAACATGATGGTCACCAAAAAAATGACAAGTTAAAAGTTCCTGAAAGTACAACAGAAAATTAAGTTAAGGGCTGGAGCAATAGCACAGTGGCTAGGATATTTGCCTTGCATGCAGCTGACCCAGGTTCAATTCCCAGCATCCCATGTGGTTTCCTGAGTACCGCCAGGAGTAATTCCTGAGTGCAGAGCCAGGATTAATCCCTGTGCATTGCCGAGTGTGACCCAAAAAGAAAAAAAAATTAAGTTAAAATAAGCCACATAATGAGTCTGAGGTGTTTCTGGCAGTGCTCACTCTTGTTGCATTTCTCAGCCGAAAAGGTTTTCATGTAAAAAAAAAAAAAATCAGAAAAAGCTCTGATTTATGGCACTCTCTCAGTAAGCATAAGGTTGTCAATTCAATCCCCAGGGCTAGCTGCAGGCACTGAAGCTATCATGACAGCCTGACAATTTTGGAAACCCCAAAAACTCAAAGATAGCTCAGTGATTTAGGAAGTGCCCAGAGCAATCTTAAAGATTTGAGTTTAATCCTCAATTATGCACTTGGACCAAGATAAGACTGACTATTCA